TGTAAATAACATTTTAAACTACACTTAAATGCAGATTATACACAGCACTTTTAGTCTGCATAATGTATAGTTTGATGAGTTAAATTTTCATGTTTTTATACATATATATTTTTTGTGATTTCTATCTTCTTCATCTTCTTCCCGTGAGACTGGGGGGGGGGGGGCACCTAGCACCCCCTATCAAGTTTCAAGTTTATTTATAAAGTGCCAAATCATAAACAAGAGTCACTCGAGGTACTTCACACAGTAAACAATCCAACACAGGTCAGTTCATTAAGCCTATCAGTAAAACGTTTCCTTTATAAAGAACCCAGCAGGTTGTATCAAGTCACTGACTAGTGTCAGAGTCTTTACAGCAATCCTTATACTAAGCAAGCATGCAGCGACAGTGGAGAGAAAAAACTCCCTTACAATAGAGTGTAAAATGTGGTCAGTATGTCCTCCAGCAGTCTAAGCCTATAGCAGCATAACTACAGAGATAACTCTGGATAACCTAGCCTTTTAGATGGAGGCATGTTGGAGGATGAAGGTGAAGGGTGAGACAAAGAACGGTTCAGAGGATCTTCCATGGATGTAAATTCAAAGAGTCAGAGTACCCGGCCCGGAGGGTTACCGGGGTCCCACCCTGGAGCCAGGCCTGGGGTTGGGGCCCGTAAGCGAGCGGCTGGTGGCCGGGCTTTCGCCCATGGGGCTCGGCCAGGCCCAGCCCGAACCGGATACATGGGCTCGTCCAACTGTAGACCCACCACCCGCAGGAGGAACATGAAAGGTACGGTGCACTGTGGATCGGGTGGCAGACCGAGGCGGGAGCCTTGGCGGTCCGATCCTCGGACAAGGAAACTGGTTTTTGGGACATGGAACGTCACCTCACTGGCGGGGAAGGAGCAGGAGCTTGTGGCAGAGGTTGAGCAGTACCGGCTAGATATAGTCGGACTCACCTCGACACACAGCATTGGCTCTGGAACCCAAGTCCTTGAGAGGGGGTAGACACTCTGCTTTGCTGGAGTTGCTCCGGGTGAGAGGCGGAGGGCTGGGGTTGGCTTTTTGTTAGCCCCAAGACTCTCTGTCTGTGTATTGGGGTTTACCCCGGGGGGCGAGAGGGTAGTTCCCTGCGCCTTCGGGTCGGGGAACGGGTCCTGACTGTTGTGCTTATGGGCCAAATATCAGTTCAGAGTACCCACCCTTTTTGGAGTCCCTGGGACGAGTGCTAGATAGTGCTCCATCAGGGGACTCCATTGTCCTGCTGGGGGACTTCAATGCTCACGTGGGCAATGACAGCTTGACATGGAGGGGTGTGATTGGGAGGAACGGCCCGCCTGATCTGAAATCGAGTGGTGTTTCGTTATTGGACTTCTGTGCAAGCCACAGTTTGGCCATAACAAACACCATGTTTGAACATAAGGATGCCCATCGGTACACTTGGAACCAGGGCAGCCGTATGTTTTGGACACTCGAGTGAAGAGAAGAAGAAGAAGAAGAAGAAGAAGAAGAAGAAGAAGAAGAAGAAGATATCAAGAGAGGAGCGGAGCTGTCAACTGATCACCACCTGGTGGTGAGCTGGATCAGATGGCAGGGGAAGATGCTGCGTAGACCTGGCAGACCCAAATGCATAGTGAGGGACTGCTGGGAACGCCTGGCAGAAGAACCTGTTAAGACGGTCTTCAACTCCCACCTCCGGCAGAGCTTTGACCACGTCCCGAGAGCAGTGGGGGACATTGACTCCGAGTGGGCCTTGTTCCACTCTGCGATTGTCGAGGCAGCTGTTGCTAGCTGTGGTCGCAAGGTGGCCGATGCCAGTCGTGGTGGCAACCCCCGTACCCGCTGGTGGACACCAGAAGTTCGGGGAGCCGTCAGGCTGAAGAAGGAGGCCTACAGGGTGTGGCTGGTCGGTGGGTCTCCGATGGCAGCAGACAGGTACCGGATAGCCAAGCGGGGTGCAGCAGTGGCAGTTGCCGAGGCAAAATCTCGGGCGTGGGAGGAGTTTGGTGAGGCCATGGAGAAAGACTATCAATCGGTTCCAAAGAGGTTCTGGCAAACTGTCCGGCGCCTCAGGAGAGGAAGGCAGCAACTCGCTCACACTGTTTACAGTGGGGATGGGGAGCTGCTGATGTCAACTGGGGCTATAGTCGGACGGTGGAAGGAATACTTTGAGGAGCTCCTCAATCCCACCTACGTGCATTCCGAGGAGGAACCAGAGCCGGGAGACCTGGAGATGGACTGTCCGATCTCGGGGGCAGAAGTTGCTGATGCAGTCAAACAACTACACAGCAGAGGAGCCCCGGGGGCGGATGAGATTCGTCCTGGGTATCTCAAGGCTATGGATGTTGTAGGGCTGTCATGGTTCACACGTCTCTGCAACATTGCATGGTCATCGGGGGCAGTTCCTGTTGAGTGGCAGACCGGGGTGGTGGTCCCCATCTTTAAGAAGGGTGACCTGAGGGTGTGTTCCAACTATAGGGGGATCACACTCCTCAGCCTCCCTGTAAAGGTCTACTCCAAGGTACTGGAGAGGAGGGTCTGATTGATAGTTGAATCTCAGATTGAGGAGGAGCAATGTGGTTTTCGTCCTGGCCGTGGAACTGTGGACCAGCTCTATACCCTTGCAAGGGTGATGGAGGGGGCATGGGAGTTTGCCCAACCAATCCACATGTGCTTTGTGGATTTGGAGAAGGCTTATGACCGTGTCCCCAGGGGCACTCTGTGGGGGACGCTCCAGGAGTATGGGGTGGGTGGCTTTCTGTTAAGGGCCATTCAGTCCCTTTACCAGAGGAGCGTGAGTTTGGTCCGCATAGCGGGTAGGAAGTCGGACCTGTTCCCGGTGAGGGTTGGACTCCACCAGGGCTGCCCTTTGTCACCAGTTCTGTTCATTACCTTTATGGACAGAATTTCTAGGTGCAGCCGTGGTGTTGAGTTTGTCGGATTTGGTGGCTGGAGAATCTCGTCTCTGCTTTTTGCGGATGATGTGGTCCTCCTAGCTTCATCCAGCTCTGACCTTCAGCTCTTGCTGGGCAGGTTCGAGGCTGAGTGTGAAGCGGCTGGGATGAGGATCAGCACCTCCAAATCTGAGACCATGGTTCTCGACCGGAAAAGGGTGGCTTGCCAACTCCGGGTCGGGGGAGAGGTCCTACCTCATGTGGAGGAGTTTAAGTATCTCGGGGTCTTGTTCACGAGTGAGGGTAGGAGGGATCGGGAGATCGACAGGTGGATTGGTTAAGCGTCTGCAGTGACGCTGAGCCGATCTGTTGTGGTGAAGAGGGAGCAGAGCCAGAAAGCCAGGCTCTAGATTTACCGGTCGATCTACGTCCCAATTCTCACCTATGGTCTTGAGCTTTGGGTAATGACCGAAAGAACGAGATCGCGGATACAAGCGGCCGAAATGAGTTTCCTCCATAGGGTGGCCGGGCTCAGCCTTAGAGATAGGGTGAGGAGCTCGGACATTCAGGAGGGACTCAGAGTAGAACCACTGCTCCTCCGGATCGAAAGGAGTCACTTGAGGTGGTTTGGGCGTCTGGTCAGGATGCCTTCTGGACGCCTCCATAGGGAGGTGTTTCGGGCATGTCCTGCCGGCAGGAGGCCCCCGGGTCGACCCAGGACACGTTGGAGAGGTTACATCTCCAATCTGGTCCAGGAACGCCTTGGGGTCCTGCCGGAGAAGCTGGTGGAGGTGGCCGTGGAGAGGACGGTCAGGAGCACCCTAGTTGGGATGCTGCCTCGGCGACCCAGACCCGGATAAGCGGAGGAAGACGACGACGGCATGTTGGAGGCAGTGCAAGGGAAAGCCGTCTTTACCGACTGTACACTCCACCTCCCTCTACTCCCCCACTTTTCCAGATCTGGGCTGTTATCAGATTTTAATCATAGGCCCTATCAATTAAAAATGTTTTAAGCCTAGTCTTAAAAGTAGACAAAGTGTCTGCCTCACGAACTAAAGCTGGGAGCTGGTTCCACAGGAGAGGAGCCTGATCACTAAAAGATTTGCCTCCCATCCTATTTTTAGATATTCTGGGAACCACCAGTAGACCTGCAGTCTGAGAGCGAAGTGCTCGGTTAGGAACATATGGAACAATTAGATCACTGATGTATGATGGAGCTTGATTAAGAGCTCAATATGTGACAAGGAGGATCTTAAAATCTATTCTGAATTTAACAGGTAGCCAATGTAGGGAAGCTAAGACAGGAGAGATATGATCTCTCTTTTTAATTCTCATCAGAACTCTAGCTGCAGCATTTTGGACAAGCTGAAGACTTTTAACTACATTCTGTGGACTTCCTGAGAGTAATGAATTACAGTAATCCAGTCTTGATGTAATAAAGGCATGAACTAAATTTTCAGCATCACTCCTGGAAAGGATGCTTCTAATCTTAGCAATATTCCCAAGGTGGAAAAAGGAAATCCTACAAACCTGTTTAATGTGGGATTTGAATGACATGTCCTGGTCAAACATAACACCAAGGTTCCTTACTTTGTTCTCGGAGACTAATTTAATGCCTTCCAGGTCAAGTGATTGACTAAGCAATTTCCTTTTCTGAATTTCAGGTCCAAAAATGAGAACTTCAGTGTTGTCTTGATTTAAAAGCTGAATGTTTTGAGTCATCCAGTTTTTTATGTCTTCAAGACAAGCCTGTAATCTACCTAACTGATTAGGTTCATCAGGGAAGTTTATCCCATGCTGTCTAATGATTTAACGTTTCACAAAAGCAGCACTGTGTCAGTAAGAGGGCTGTAGAGTAGGAGAAGGCCATGTAATGCAAAGGTTATGACATTTGTCAACAACCTGCCCTACCATTGGGCAGAGGTCATCAGACATTAAGTGTTCAGCCAGTTTCATCTGCCTGGAATATTGTGTGCTTCTCCGTAGCAAAATGGCCCTCTGTTTTTTTAGTTTTAGTCTTTAACATAAAGACCCCACTCAATAGCATCTTGATACCAGAGCCCATATAATCTTATCAACATGATTATCCTCCCAAATTAACTTGGAATTGGTGTTGTGTGCTTTCAGGTCTATTTGTGAGATAAACCTGGAATCTGAGCTCTTCACTCTGCAGGACAGCAACTCTAAATTGGTGGCAGCATTGCACGAAGCTAATGCTAATGTGGCACAATGGAAAAAACAGCTGGCAGCATATCAGGAGGAAACCCAACGACTCAGAGAACAGGTGAACTTCTATCACTAAAGACCGGTTCACAAGACAGAATTTTTAAACTGTCAGCCAATTTTCAAAGCATGTAAGACCACAAAGTATTAACAAATCACAGATTTCCAGTTTTGGTTATACAGTGTGTTGTTGGCAGCCAGTCCAAAGCTACACACTACACACAAAATACTTTCACCAGTTTAAATCACAAACATTTCCTCAGACAGGAAATCTCATGAGATTTAACTTGACTTTGAAGTAAACAAACATTGCAGAGGCATGCAGCACTCTTTAGTCGCCTTATTTTCTGATTAGGTGGATGTCAACTTCAATAAGTTTCAGCAGGTTCGATTATCAAACCAAGACAATCCAACATGTTTAAAAGCCCAGATTTCTGACTGGAGTGGGTCTGTCCTTCTAAGTTGACCAGAGCGCCTGTAACACACCACAGAAGATAGGATTCTCTGGTAGGATTTTCTTTATTGTGCGCAACTTTAAGCTTTTCAAAAGGGATGGGGGTGGTGAAAACTTAACATTGAAGTCACGTTTTATCGTAGGAGATTTCCCATTGTGGGGAAAGTGCATGTCTGAAGGTAGTTTGTGTGTAGTGTGTAGTATTTGCTCAGTTGCTGCACACACAGTTGCTGTAGGACCAAAAGTGGTAAATTCTTGATTTTACACTACAATGTGAATGGTCTCTCATGTTTTGAAAATTGGCCAACAATTTTAAAATCCTTATGTGAAAATCAAGCGTTTTGAAAGTATTCCATTATAAGGTTATTTTAAATCCACCGGCAGTGCTGTAAGTGGGCTGGCATGCAGCGGTACATAGTACTGGTACTTCTAATTTTTACCTTTCAGCATACCCAGCCTTTTTTTCCTGGGTACTGGTAGTTTGTCATTAGTCAAAATATCGAAGAATTATTTAAAAAATAATCTGTCTTTCTTCAAGTAAACAACAGCCCTCCACATACTGGTGTGAGCCATGTGGACTGGGGTCACACCAGCTTCAAGCAATGCTGCTTCCACTTGTAACTTGTCCTGGGCAAGGCCGGATTATAATATGGAGAAACTGGGCACAGGCCCAAGTGCCCACAACCACAAGGGGGTCCACGCGAGCAGTAGTCTTTTATTTTTTATTTATTTATTTTTTTATGCAGCAGTCTTAACGTTGGTGAAAAATGTTAACAAGTAATTAAACTTGCGCCTGCATTTTCTAAGTTAACACACATTTCTTTTAACAACGGTAGTTTTTGCATCTTTACTACCTGCTTCAGCTCTCTCCCCCCTCCCCCAGCGCAGCAGCCGCAAACTCACTGATGTGCCTGCAGCCTCTCAACATTGAAAGAATAATTTCATTTTCTGTTCCTCAATTCTGATTACCTTCAGTGGTGTCTGTTTATTGCTACCAGGTACAAAAACGAACTTGTTTTTTATTTGACTATTTTTCTGTCCTGTCTGTTTATTATCTTCCTGCATTTCCTCTCAGTCCTGAAGAAAAACTGCTACTTGGCTTCATATATATTCACCTCATGAGTTACCTTTGAACTGCAGTTCTCAGATTCCTCTTGTCTCAGACAGGAGACAAGAGGAGGAAGGAGACAGGAGACAAGAGGAGGAAGGAGACAGGAGACAAGAGGAGGAATGAGACAGGAGACAAGAGGAGGAATGAGACAGGAGACAAGAGGAGGAAGGAAACAGAGTCAAGAGGAGGAAGGAAACAGGAGTCAAGAGGAGGAAGGAAACAGGAGACAAGAGGAGGAAGGAGACAGGAGACAAGAGGAGGAAGGAGACAGGAGACAAGAGGAGGAAGGAGACAGGAGACAGGAGCCTTTCTCGCCTGAGCAATATATGGAGAAATGGCTGAATTTGGGAGTGAACAGTAAAAATCATAAATTTGACTACTTTTGTCCAAAATGAAACCATAACATCACAGAAAGCATGATTATTTGATGCAGATGATACAGGATCAAAAACTGTGGTTTGCATTGAAGTTGATGGGACGTTTTTGTCCATTACAGGCACAAGAGGGTGGTAAATTTTAAATCCACTGCTGCACAAAAGCTAAAAAAAGCATAAAATGTGATATTTTGCCAGACTCTTGACATGTCCAAGGCTGATTTAAAAAATGATTTCAGTCACTCAAAATATGTTTAATGTAAAACATCTCCTCTTTTGTCTGCTTTTTTCATGAAAAAATGAGCATCACATAATCAAACTGGCATATAAAGGGTTAAAATTTAGATAAATATTCAATATTTGAAATTTTTTTATCAGAACTGAAGTTGATCACAAGATTTAGACTCAAAACGCAGAAAAAAATATTAACCTGGACCATTTTTAAAGCAGTTTTAAAAGTGGACGTTTTTGTCCTCTGTATAGTAAATTTTAAATCTGTTGCTATGTAAAAACTATAAATACAAAAATTTAAACATTTTAGATATTTCATAACATAATCAAGACTGATTTGTACTAAACACCCCAGGCAAAAAAATGTCTTTTTTAGAAAACAGCTCAGTTTTTGTGTGTTTTTTTTTAATTATAAATTGCATCAATGACTTTGAGTATTCAAACTGGCATTTCAAGGGTTAAAAGCCTCAAAATGATTGAATTTTTTTTACGTTTGAGCAGGGCTGAAGTTGTCCAACAGATCTATGAAAAAAAAAGCAAAAAAAAAAATTTAATTATACATTTTTTATGGCCACTTTTACAAGCGGACGTTTTTGTCCTCTAATGACTCTTTAGGATGACATTTAAAGTGACGCCTGAGGGTTAAAGAGGATATACGACGACTCTCTGCTGAACTGCAAAAGAAAGAAATGCTGCTGGATAATTTTGGATCTTGTATCCTTGTGCTGTCTGAGACCATTATCAGTCAGTTTGAAGATAAAACATCCATGCAGGACTCTCTACTCCTAGACACCATTGCTTGGGATCACACTGCACCACAAAAACTGATCCAGCTGTACTCCTGACCCATTTTCATCTTGGTCAGAGGTTGTGGTACGTGGCCATAGGAGAGCCCCTGTTGTTGATTCCATCCCTCGACTTGACCTCAGACTTTCAAACCGCTTCTCTCCACTTGTTGAGGAACAACCAGCTGATACATCCAGGCTTCCTTTTCCCTCTCAACCATCTGTGACACAGGAGTCTGTAGTCCACAAGAAGCAACCTCCACAGTCTCTTCCACCCCAGACAACCATCAATGCTCTCCTGGATATACATCCTGGTCTGCTGTACTCCATCCCAGCTTCAGTTAAAAGAGTGATCATTCATGTGGGATCAAGCAATGTTCTACATCAGGAATCCATCACTCAACAGCATGTTAACCATCTCTTTGACGTTCTGAAGAGCAGCAGAATGTCTGTTTTCATCTCCGGCCCGATCCCCACAGTTTCTCGTGGATGTGGAAGTTTTAGTCGTCTGCTCTGTCTCCACTCCTGGCTTCAGTCTGCTTGCAGGTCCCACAGTTTTGGTTTCATCGATAATTTTAACCTGTTTTGGAACCGTTTCTCCTTTTTCAGACGAGATGGTATTCACCCTAACCGACATGGCTAAGCATGCTAACCACTAACATCCAGTATGCTGTGCAGTCCCATAGATATAGGGTGTGTCCGAATCCATGGGTAGGATGCTTGTGAGTACGTGTCCTCGCCGGTCTAGCAAGGCCGGGTCCTTGCTCGACCGCTAAAACTGGAACCAGCGGCTCTGAATTCGGACAGTCTAGCCTTCACCTCTACGGTGGCCTGTAGGTCCCGTCACAGCCGCGGCGGCAGCTACACGCAAAGGAAAAATGCTAAAGCTAGCGAAAATAGCTACAGCAGCTTCACGTCCATCAGCAGCGTTTGTTCACAACCGTTTTCAGGTAAAGTAACTTTGTTTATTCTAGAAGCTTTCAGGACTTACATGTTAACTTTAGATGGTTTCATGTATGTTTTAAGCTACAGAATGAACTTGTTAAACGTACACAACACATTACTACAGAGTATTATCATGTAGGTAATTAATATAAACCAAATGCATTATAAATGCTTAATGCAGTAGGATGTTTTCTAATGTAAATTGGACCTTAGAATTTCTTATTTTGCATCAAATGAGAGTAAAACGCTTTTAAAAACAGGCTTTTTAATAAAATAGCATAGAAGTGTTTTCAGTGTGCATTTGTTTATTCAAGTTAAGCCTAATAATGATTCGATCTGTCTTAAAAATGTACATTCTCTGTAGTTTTTATTTAACTAGTCCCTGCTGAACAGAACCAGTGTACTGAAGGTTATATGTTTTTTTTTTTTTTTTACATTTTTCAAATTAAAAAACCCTCTTATTTAATCTATTACAGGTCAGCATGCACTGTGCTGCACATCTGCATCGGTGCTGGTGAAGTTGTGGGTCTGGAGGATGAGCCTGAGGAAGATGTGTGTGGAGGAGGTCAGTGGTGCTCTGTCCTGCAGGAGGTACCAGCAGACCACCACTACTGTTAACAGGCAAGTCATTTATGTAGGAACCTCTATTAAAAACAACACTGTGGTTTTATTTGCTGAAGAGTCACAATTGTTATACCAGTGGATCCATAAACCATCTCCTCATTTCATATTTCTGAATACATCACAGAGATGTAACAGTCGTCGTCTGAGCCAGCCCAGCAGGCCCTGTAGATGGACGATGGAGTGGACAGTGAGAGGAAGCGTCCCAAAGCTCTCTCTGCAGACCGTCCTGTATGATGTTCCTCTGGCCAGAAACGTCCAGCCACGGGTCTGCTCCAGCCCTCCATCCACGTCTGGATCCTCCTGCAGCAGATCCAGCTGCACTGTTAAAGACTTCCTGCTCACTCCGTTTAAATAAATGATCCAGGAATTCAATTCAATTCAATTTTATTTATATTGCGCCAAATCACGACAAGAGTCGTCTCAAGGCACTTCACATAATAAACATTCCAATTCAGGTCAGTTCATTAAGCCAGTCAGAAATAATGTTTCCTATATAAGGAACCCAGCAAATTGCATCAAGTCATTGACTTGTGTCAG